AATTGATCAAAAATTTTTTTTAATTCATTATAACCATCCATACCATAAATTGTTTGTATTATAGATGGAGTCCATGGTATATCAGAATCAGTTTCAAGAATTTGATCAGTTTCTGATTTATATGAAAGTGTACAATTAATACATAATAATGGAAGAAGATTAAATTTAATTAATATAACTTTATCATCAACATTTAATTCATTAAATTCTGGTATTTGTTTAAAAAATGTTAAAAGTCTTATTAATGGTATTGAATGACTATTAAGTTGTTCTTGAAATGTTGTTGCACATATGGATAAATTCGATGGAAGACCATCACGAGCTATAAGATAATAAAAGAAAATAAAATTCATTGAATAATTTTTCTTACCAAGTTCAATACGTTTTTGATAGAAAAATTGTATTGATTCTAAACGTTGTAAATCTTCTGAACTAAGTAATACTTTTTTAGATTGTACATCAGGACTCCTTTGTAAACATTCAGAAAAAAGTGAAAGTTCTTGATCTAATATAGAAGATAACTATTTAGAAAAAAAAAATGCAATGAATAATATTGTTAAAATAAAAGATGATTATACATCATTAGATAATAATGTTGGTGATAGTTGAGATTGTTGTTCATTTGTATTTATATTTAAATTTGAATTTTCTTGTCTATGACGACGTATTTCTGCTTTTTGTTCTGCCTAAGAAATATAAAATTCTATTCATCAATAAATTTTGATTTAAGTTGCTATATATATATATACTATTAAAAGTCGTTCACGTTGCATTCCACTATTGAAACATTTCATCAAACGACATGCCGAACAATGACGACGTGAATTAAAAGTAATATCACAAGTACCTTGATGTAAACATTTAAGTGGCTAGAGAAACATAGACGAAAAAAAACCGGAATCAGTCAAAATATTGATTGTCTATCACACGCGTTGGTTGAGATTCGGTCATGAGAAGTTACTCTGAAAGATACTTGACATTCCGAATTTTTCAGACTATTATTTTAACATTCGACATGGACTGAACATTTTCCTAAAATTTGCTCGAGTTCTGATTTTATTCTACACGATAATTCTCCGTCTCTACGAACGTCGTTGAAATCTTATCTTATAGAAAACATTTTACTTTCAGTTGCAAACAAACATTCACGGACATAAAGAATGATCTTAATCTTACTGGATGTCTTAAAGCATTACGACGAAAAAAAGATTTGCAACTTTCACATGAGACAACATCAAAATTGTATCCAGTTGCAGTTGAACCACAAATAGCACAAGTCAATAAAATATTCTTTTGTTTCTTCTGATTTATTGTTTCAGTCTATAGGAAAATAAATTTTGTTTTCTTTAGCAAAAAAAAAAAAAAAACTGAAATTTTACTTTGAGATGAGAAATTTGAATGTCTTCATCTAGAGTATCCAAAATAATTGATTTACATAATGAAATATTAGTATTTTTTTGAATTTCATCAATAACGCTTTCATCACCACTAATAATCATGATTCGTCGTCGTTTTAATTTTGATTCTGTTGATATATGATTAGTCATATTGAATAATTGTTTCTGAAATAAATGAAAAATAATTTCATCTCTGATGATAAGAATTACTAAGAACTTTTTTTCAATTGACATAGCAAAGTTATCACATAGGCACAAACATTCTGATTGACATACGTTTAAGATATGAATATGTGACATGCATCCAATCTAAAGTTATTTTAAACCGAAAACCGAAACTAGCACCCATTCGAATGATTATTTTGAATTAATATAAGTAAAAATGTGCCAATAGGTATCTATTCTAACTCATATACTATTTATATGACTCATATCTGTTATTATAAAAACAAAAATGAAAAGAAGTAAAAGACGTGTAGTAACGATGAAAAACATGCGAAAAACAACGAAGAAGAAGAAGAACAGGTAAAAAAACGCCTGATCGTATACTCACTTGATTCATATACGATAATGTTTGAAGCATTTGTTGTTGTTTTTTTTTTACTTTTTCGTTCTTTTATTTATATAGTAAGCCAGTAGAACAAGTCAATATAGCGAAAAATAAGTCTAATACAAAGAAAAAATATTTTATTGATATTTTTATGGATTCTAAAAAGATGTTATACTTATGAGGGTACATTCCTAGGTGTCGAACATTTGTAGTCAACTTTCGTTGTAGGACCTATCATTTGCAATCGAGTCATATTTTCACATATCGATCAAAAATTTTGCTTACATAAAGAACTCATTTAGAGTAGCTCGTATAGGAAATTTCTTCAAGATATATAACTTTCACAGAATAAGTGCCTGTAGGTATCTACAACATGTTTATAGAACTTACAAAAAAGAGGCAGTAGACGAGTTTAGATACTGAGCTAGCATTTATTAGATTTGTTAATCAGAAGTAAGCATTTTGCTTTTAAACAACATATCTTTAAGAATAATACGCTCAAAAATCATGCAAAGAAGATCGTGTTGAACTGCTCTAAGTCAAATGCATTGATCGACGAATATCCGATAAGAAGGCAAATATTTCTTGTTGATGGTTTTAAAAATTGTTATTAGATCAATTACTAGTTTTATATCCGAAAAAAGTGAAAAATCAAATATTGATCAAGGTAAAAGATGTTTTTCAAATTCAGTTTATGACCGTAACTGCCATTTTCTGACTCTTCTCTAATCTTATTTGATCGTCGAAAGTGTCTGATTTAATTCAGTTGCATAGATCAACTTCAGCATTATAATCAATAGTTCATCATAAAGCAGATAAATTCTTAGGAAAACATTCCACATCCTTATCTCCACCCACACCCTTTCCAAATCTTGTTTTGTATAAATTAATTGTAAGATATTCAAATCGAAGAAAAATGATAACAAGTATTTAAGTTTTTTCTAATGAACTTTCTTTCACAATTATCACATTTTAAACAGTATTCGTCATGGATACAATTCGAAATACTGCATTTTGTTGAATTGAAACAGAATCTGACGAACGAAGTAAGATAGAATCAAGTTTCAGCGTATGAACATTACGCGTAAAATTAAGAAGTTCGATTACTTGGTCGAAAGAAAATGATGACAATTAAGAAATAGTTTAGAGAGTTGTTTCAAAGGAATAATACGATTGCGACTTCTTACAATCGAATCACGAGGTATATCAAACGCATCTGAGACACTATGAATACAAACATGACCAGCTGAATTTTCTTTCATTTCAAGATCATGTGACCCATTTTTTTGACTCAAGCCTTCATATAAGCCATAAGATTTTCTCCAGTAAAGTAAAATTACACGTATATAACTATTATAAATAAATGAATTCATTTCTACTGATACGGAGTTGTTGAATAGAAAGTAGAAATACTGTAATCTCTAGTTTGATAATATTGACTTTCGAAGAACCATTGTCGTTTTATCCAGAATATTGAATTAAACATATTAATCTGAGTTTCGTATGCTTGTTGATCACCAATGTAATAAAATGTTTGACATTGATGTTCAAAGTCAAAGACACATAGATCTAGCATATGAGTTGAAATTAATCGCTCCTAACGATTAGCATTCAAATATTCTATATTAGAACTGAAATATCCCCTATATGATACTTCAATACATAAAAACTAAACTTTATGAAAAAAAAACCATTGATGATTGATTCAAAGCCATCAAAACTAACAGAATGCATTTCAAGAGACACATGTGTCAAATAATTTAAAGTAATTCATTTCATCAGTGTCCGACTTCCTCGAAATCTATATAAATGGCCCAATGATAAACGACGTAGTTGAGGAATATAAAATAATAAACTATCGAATTGAGCAAGCGAAACTTTACTATTAATGATAAGATCTTCAATAAGACTGAATTCATTCATAGCAATAGACATAGATCTTGGATTTTACAATGTTTCAAAAAACATTTGACAATATTTCAATACAGGTAAACGAAATATTTTCCGATAGATATCATTTTGATTTTTTATACTATCAATGCATATGATAATTAATGCGAATAAAATGGGTAAAGAAGATAAATGATTTATAACTCTTTCGTTATAATCAGATTCAATATTATTTATAATTAAGGACTTAAGTCGAATTAAGTTTGTCATCATTGGAAATAATAATAAACTCATATCGGCAGTAAATGGATTCGATTAGAGTGAGGTACTATATAAAATGTATTATATAACGCTGAAATCTACATTTTGACATAGATGAAATGTTGATTTTAATTGGAAGATTTAAATCAACAAGAAGATGTTGAAATCGCTTGTTGAGATCATACAAAGCTTCAAATACATGATGAAAACCAAGATATTTGAATATTTCATAAAAAACTTCCTTACAGAGAGATGTTCAAATGTAGTAACGAACTCTTTCGTTAAACTTAAAAGTAAGAGATCATTATTAAAAAGACAAATAAAGACAATATTTTTTTTTTATACACCGACTAGTTCATTTCGATTTGTTGCACTAAAAAAACAAAAACGATCATCACAAAAAAATCGAATATAACTTTTACTGCTTAGTTTTTTGTTTGTTTTCTATCATGATAATCAATATCAATATTATTTTGTGATCGTTTAATTTGTTTCAAAGATGTATAAGTTGAAAATATATTAAATACCAAATAAAGTATAATTTAAATCGAATACTCAACTAGAAAAATTGCAACAGGAAACAGAAGACAATGTAGGGTGTAGGTGTGGGTGGGTATGAGAGACGAAAAGAAATGATCCCACACCCGCCTACACATTCTTTTACTTTTATAATTTGCATTTTGTAAAATATCAGCACATGTTATATTGTAACATTATATTTTTATAATTTCTATCTATACAATCAAGATCATATTTAAGTACCTTTTTTATTTTAATTATTTATTTTTATAAATATTTTAAAAAGTAATTTACTTTTTTTCATGTAACAACAAGTAGAATATCAACTGGAATAAATGTTAAACCAATTCTTAAAAACACTGGTAATGTTGTATTAGCAGCAATTATCGATTATCATCACGATAAATATTATTGTTTAAATATTCTATCTAATTCATAACAAAAAATAATGTTTGTTTTTAACTACAGAATTAATATACAACAAACCAACTGATTTTTTTTGTTTTTTAAAGCATTAACACTTTTTATTGCATTGTATGCTTCAAATAATAACAAAAATAGAAACAGAACATTAAGTAATTAAAAGAAAATACATTATTAATCAAGAATATTTCTTATTAAATTTTTTTATTTCCTTATTTTATAACTAACTTTGTTTTTCTATGAATTTTTATATTGTTTTCATTAGAATTCAAACAAATAAAAAGCGACATTGATGGATGTCAAGTATTTTTAGTTACGATAAATTTGATTAACAAGAATTTCAATAAATAATTCATCGGCATAAGTGTGTTGTATTTGATGCACGACAAATACATATCAACAAAAAAAACTTGTGATAAAACAACAAATTTTTTTATTCTTCGTCACAAGAAAAAAATCCCTCTGAATCACAATTCTTTGTTTTCAATGTACGATTATAATGGTATCGTACAATTGTGGCCTTATGAATATCGTTTGGTTGTCAATATAAATTACACAATTGACTTTATCGTTCGTATTGTATTTGTGATTTGCCTTTAAATTTGAATCAATATCAAACGGTCCATCAATGGCAATTTGATAATCTTCAATAGTTTTTCTTGTAGAATGTCTTGTACAGACTGATGACTTATTATGATGATAATCACGATTTGTTAATAATTGTTTATTAACATTTGTATTATAAGCACCTATGTGATAAAAACCGGCAGAAAACTGCGGTTTACCGCAGTGTTATCGGTTCGGTTACAGACTTCCATTGATGCAATTAACCGCGGTAAACCGCCAATCTTACCGGCTAACCGACTAGACGGTGAACTACGGCAAAATCATCAATTTTGACGATTTCAACATCGTTTTTGTGTAGATTTTGATATGAGAGTGTAGGTGTGAATGGGTGGGTGTAGATGTTGTTCCAGTGAACACTAATACTCATACCCACACTCACACTCCGATTTCCTGACATAATCCTGTTTCAAAAACAATGGTAAACTTGTCAGGATCCTAGGAAATCTTATTTTGAATCCTGACAGAATCCTAAAATTCCGTAGCTACACACTTGTTTCAGGATTTAGTCGTTTGCTCAGGAAAAAACAGTGAATCCTTGCAGGTTCCTGATCATATCTGTCAAAGATCTGGTGCTGAAACATGAAACATCAAAGATTTTCCCGAAGGTCTGATTAATTCTTATGATGTTGTCTATACGGCAAGGATATATTATAGTTACAGATGGCATTAACAGATATTTAATTATGGGTGGAAGATAGCAATGTGATTTCTATTTGGTTTTATGAGAAAAAAAATCTGTATAACAGAAATGTTTCAAGAATCATGTCATTTGTATTTGATCAATATTCGATTTTCTTCATTTTCGATATCGTCGATTGAGTAACCACATGCATCGATGATACCGAACTGATCATTCAACTCGTGCAGGCTTTCTTTACCGATCAATTTGAGTACTTCGTAGAGATTACGTAGCGTTTGACAACGATGAAAGTATTCTAAACAATCCTCATCGTATATTGGCCACCTATCATCAAGTTCGTGAACAGTGTTGAGGTACATTGGACAACGATTGGGATTAGACTGCCAATTATCGTTGTGGTCGGATAAGTTCGGATAATCGTTATCGTCCACATTACAGTCGTCCTCTTTCTTTCCACAAAAATAGCACCATCTTCCCTGACATCGCTCACAAACCATATGCGTGCATTTATCATCTTTGATGCCAGCCAATTCGCAATGAGGACAGTATCTTAGAGAACCGGTTTCGACGGCTTTCTCAATCAGTTGTTTACAGTTGTGATATTCGACGCAGCGAGATCGATGTTTTAATTCATCAATATCGTCTTGCACAGCATTCAGACATATCAAACATGATCGTTTACCACAATTAGGATGTTGACAGGTGAGAAACTGAATCGAACATGTATCAGTAGTATGGATTTCCAGATAAGAACAAAACGGACCTGTTGAAAATTAATGCGTCAAAAGTACAGTTTTAGTCAGTTTAGAGTTTTGTAAAACAGTACTTACACTGTACTAATTCTTCGCAATCTTCAAGGCATTCTTGTGACCAGTAGAGTGGCAAAACACAAGCGACATAGTTCTCATAATAGTTTTGATCGATAATTATACGTTCAACATATGTTTCATTGAAAGCTGTTTGACATGCTCCACATTTGAGCGGATAGTTCAGTGTCGGCTGAGCAAAAAGCATACCAATCATTGTGTTGATGCAGACCGAACAAGTCACTTTGTGACATTTTTCATTGATGCATCTCAAATATGTATCAGTCATGGTAATATTCGATTCGCATATGCCACAACTGAACTTGTTTTCTTGCGGTGATGGTATTTCCATCGCTGGTGCTGGTGGCATTGCGGACTCTGCATTGTGGTTGTGCAAGAACATAGTGTTAGCATAGGATACAAAGGGAATATCGGATCTATTATTGAATAATGCCGGTGAATTTGGCTATAGAAGGATATTAATGAGCTTTCCAAATTCGCAATCACTATAAATATCGACCAAATTAACGCTAATTTCATCATCGTTTTTTCTCTGATAAGTGATTATAGCTGTAGAACCCTCTGTTGCCACAAATGATGATGCAAGTAACATTGCAGTAATGGCATATTCCTAACGCATTATTTCGACAAGATGATGCAATTACAAGGGATTCTTTTTCAATCTTTTCTTCTCATCCATGTGTCACGTCATGACTACAACATCATCGAATGTGCAATGCTGAAGGAAAAAAGAACAGTTGAAAATATAAACGACGTCATCTTGTTGGTTAATGTAAAAAAACATCTTGATGAATTTAATTTATTTCATCATGCTTGGAAGCAAGATCAAATTCGAGAACTTCTAGACCAGTAGATTTTCTCACACCAAGTTTTTCTCGAAACACTGTAGAATACATAATATTCTGACACTTAAGTAACGAAGAACACTAAATCATAATATTTTTAGTAATTTGATATTTCACCTGATTAGATTGAAACTGATCTAGTCGTGGAGACGATACTAAACAAGCATCAATCAGTTCTAAAATTGGTGAGATTTATTGAAGAAGTTTAGGCTTCCACTCCTAGTACCTCTTCTTGGAGGATAAGGATGAGATGCGTAAGTAGGTAAAGTTTTATTTTCACTTATCGCCTGTCAAATTGAAAATGGGTAAAGAGGATGTGGATGTATGTTGTCTTCCTCACACCTGCAATTTTTATCTAGATGTTTTATGGATGGTATCTTACATATGTTCACAAGTTTTCTATATTGATGTTATTTATGTAGACATCAGCGATTTTAAAAAGAAATTCGACGTTATTTCAAATCCAAATGTGAAAAAGTTGAATTTTGTCCTATATATAAGATGCCATTCTCTCATTAATAATATATCGCCTTCATGTTAAGAAACGGATTATTTTCACTTGTCTCTCTTCGTCTCTAAAGCAGTGCATGTTCATATTCTTATATGGCTTACCTGCAGAGAATATCAAAGACTTTGCTCCCAAAGTTTTATCTATTCATTATGTAAATCATTTTATCAATAACTTTATAAATTTTAAACGTGGGCATCAACAATGTAAAGTATGTGTGAATATTCAAGAGACGTTAAATAATTTCGTTTTTATTGCCATAATACATATATATCTTAATACATTAGTTGTGCAACATGTTGCAAAGCAATCCCACGCAAGAAAGTACACATGACAAGCGATGGGTATCACTTTTCTGCATTATTACGTCCATTTTTCATGCCTTCGTCATTCAAGATTGGCAAAATGAACATGCAAGTTTCCTATCAACTAAGTTGAACTAGAATCAATCAAGAAACTTTACTTGGCCCAATGTTTCTTCAATAGATTCAGATGGATCAGTTAGATCTTTGCATGGTACATGTATCTGGGAATTTTCCGACATGTCTGATATCAGACGCATATAGTGAAGCAGCTTTTATAAAATTTCGTTTTTATTGATCCATTAGATAATTCTGCATCTGTTGAACCGAAATCTATTAATTCTTCTTCTTTCTATTCATTTCCAAATGTTTAAAAAGATTTGTTTGAGATTATTTTTAAACCGAAACACGAAGACAAAAGGTGTGTATATATGTCATAATTCTTTCCATGAATATGAGGTAACTATAATCATTTTCTTCATCAGCCTTTTCCTTTCAAAGTAACATTTACTGTACTTAATCATTTATCACCAAATAATAATCAACCGAATTATTTTTGGATCCAATACAAAATCGATCTGCTGTCAACGTTTAAGGAGCAATATGAATATCGCTTATGGCATTTCAAAGTTCTTTTTTCTTGTTGTATTGAAACAGAATGAAAAGCGTTATGTTAAACATGATAAAATGTTTATAAAGCTTGCTGTTCATTTATTGACTGCAAGACCAAATAAAACAAATATATCGAAAGATGTTTTGATTGTTTTTGTTTTTGTTTTAGTTTTATAATTAATAGCTGGTACATATCAATTACTGAATAAGGAAGAAACTCGTTGATACAACTTATAACAATCTTTAACGGCTTATTATCTCACATATAAAAATGATTTACAAAACGTCCTATGAATTGAGAAATTTCTCATGTAAACATAAATGTACTTTCTTCACCTGTGGATCAATATGATCTTACGCTTCGATATTATCAAAATGTATCAAAAGTATCGTTACAGAATTGTTCACGTATATTGAATGAAATAATTTATCAAAATATACATCAAACATTTTATATTATAAAAGTTGTTTCGATTAAGCTGTGAATTATGATCAACGAACAACCACTTGCTTTCTTAAAACTCGACCATATAGTCGATTTATTTGCAAAAAAAATGATGAATCAATTAAAACAGAGAGAGTAAACGTTTTTTTTCACAAATACATTGCTCATAAAAAATTTTAAGAAAACTCTACTTATTTTAAGATAGAAAGTTATCAAAGTCAAAAGCAAATGAGAGAATTCAATAGTTCAAAACAAGCGGATAAACGAATTTTATCTGTTCATTTATGAATAGAAATCAAAGAAAATGACATCAGAATGAATGAACGAACGAATAATTGGTGAGAAAAATCTTTTTAAATTTTTTTATTAAATGTCATATTAATCAGATGTCGCTATAGCAATATTAAACAATCCTTTTGATTTCTAGTTTAGATAATTCAAATGTGCCACTTTTAACCATGTTTTTTCTTATAGAAAATGATACAGAATTTATTTTTTAATAATATTAAAATCGAAGATTTTTTATTATTAAGGCAAAGTTGTTACATCTAAAATAAAATTCAAACCACATGGAGTGTGAATATGGGTGCCTTCTCCCGAACTACGAAAGCTCATCGAGTTGGTCCCGGATGTAACCGGGTCTCGTTATTAAAATTTTGGACCCGTGAGGCTGTACGAACTACATACACTCATATCTTTACACTGTGTTTTTATCTAACATATCTTTCGTTTGCCAATATGTTTACTCCTAGCAGACTAGTGAATTATATACGTCAGCTCGTGAACTACAGTAAAAAGATCATAAATTTCTTGATGAAAATACACAGGACAATGTTTACCGCGATGATTTGTAGATGTTGATAAAGTTAAAAGTTATGGTGTTCTAATGACTTTTCTTTCGTGTCAAACTATTATCGTATTTGATGAAAGCATTCGAACTGTCAGGATGCGGCAAGTTACGTGCCATTTTGTTCAAATGTTATATGGAAATGTTGAACTACCAAACAGTTTCATCTATGACTCGTTCTATACGCTTTTTCTCCATTGCCATCATCACATGGGTACAACTTCTTTTCAAGAGATCGCAACACATTAAAAAACTCGTTAATATCACAGTGATCATTGACCCTTTGATGCAATATATACGAAATTATGTGAACGATATTTGAATTGTTTTTCTCGTCTATAAGTCCTACTTCAATCTTTCAGTTTTCTTGCATGTAGAAGAATGTTCAAGATGTCTGTACTATGTAACATATGGTTGTTTGTGAAACTAAATAAACACATTTTATGAATGGAATAGTTTTTTTTGAAACGAATAAAGTATGAACAACATAGCGATCGGGATGCAGAAAAGAGCGTAAAAAAGCACGTATAAAAACTTGTACAGCTTCTAATGTAAAGAAAAAGTATGCAAATAGTTGTAAGTATCGAATAGTTTTGTTACATAATGAACATACAATCATACATCACATTGTCCTAAAACTGCGTGGAGAACGTTCTTGTTTAAACAACTTTTTCACTAGGATTCTGACAGACACTGAGACCTGTGCATAATGAAATATGAAGGAGCAGTCGATTAGTTTACATCTGTGCTCATGCAAATCGACTGCCAAAAATAAGAATTTTGTTACTTGGAATATGTATATCAAAGCATTTTTGATTGTTTCCGTTCGAAACAATAAATCTACCTTGATGCTATAACTTGTTATAATCCATATACACGATATATTCTATATGAAAAAGATCAACAAACTTATCAACCATGACAACGACCGAGCAGCCTTTTACTGATTTATCATTGCCTTCCCCATCAAACACATATGGATATCGACCGCCCAATATTAACACTACAAGGGAGGGAAATAACAATGATAACAGGTAGAATGAGACTTTGAATATTTTTTTGTTAATCAGAAGATTTTTCTGCCATCATATCATTTTTCACAAAATTCATTATTCTGTATGTGCTTTTATACAAAAAAAAGAAACAAAAACAAATCTTCCGGTTCTCGATCCAAATGTGTTCAATACTTGCTTTTGTTATTACCGATTGTGGTATCGATCATCGCCTTTGTTTTGGCCATCGCACTTCCAGTTGGGTTATATAATAAGATGAAAGGTAGGATAAATCGATATACTTCTACTTTTCTTATCTTCATTGACTAAGGGAGTAAACAGCAACCGGTTCAAATATCGTGTAGTCTTTAACAGAGATTTTAACACATCATCTATTATGCAGCACATCAAGTCTGGATTCAAACAAAGAAATTAGAGTCTTACATCAATAAATGAAATAGAGTCTCAGATAAGAATAAATGCTAATTAGAAAACACAGTAATATGGCAGTCCGTTAACGTTTAAAAACCTGAGTGATCTGAAATCTACAATGAATGCTTTATTAACTGTATGCGCGTTTCCAAGAATTTTCGCCAAAAACAGAAGCTAATCTGTTTTTTCAGGTGCATTTTAAAATGCAAAATAGACTCGAAAAATAAATATGCTCAAATAACGTGTTTTTTTTCTTCACTACTTAGTCGCAGAACAGTCGCCGCTGTGGACTGGTACCTTTAATGTTGATTCATCATGTAATACAACATCTTGTTGCTGCTTCAGTGGACAAGCCGTACTGACAAGTTCTGGGACGGACTCAATAGAACTCACAGTTGGAGTAACTGGTGTACCATGTGGTAGTCGATCTACAATCACCACAACCTTCATTAATCTTGGTGGCTATTTTGGGTCGTAGACGATGAACAACGTGACAACGATATTTGTACTCAGTTCTGACAGCAATGCCATCTACTCGATTAGTCCGACAAACTCAGTTTGCAATCAAAAAGCTGTCAGAGCATCATCAAAAACATAATCAGGTACAATGATAAACTAGTGCAATTTATACCAAATAAAAACTATTTCTCATATTTGAAAACAGCATTTAAGAAGACAAAAGCATTGCATGTTAGTCCTTTCCTTACTTTTAACAGTGTTCCTACCAATATAATTAGCGCAAACGCTTCCATCATTGATGCTTTACAGATTCTATACTCTGTTGATAGTTATTCATCTATTTACTTATAATGGAGATAGCCAAAAAACTAGTAGGATATCTATATGTTTGATCCGATTTTTCGATTCACCGAATATACACAAGAGATCATTTTTTTATGGTTAGAATGCGTTTTAAGATGTATCAACCAATCAACTGAAAAATTTTTGGATTTTTTTCTCGTAGTTAGTCCAAGTTTTTAAATTGCGAGGGATGTGAAAAGAGAGGCGACCTTCGTTACTCAGAAAACTTTGTCAAAAATTAATAAGTTCCATATTTGATCAATTTATTTTTCTTTTATTGCAGTTCTCGCTGATTTCACGACAATAGTCATAAACAAATGAATTTTGTACTTCGAATCATTCGTTCTTATAAAAATGTTCTTGTCTATATAATCCAGAATAAATTATTGAACTGAGCAACTAAGAGAATACAACATTGTTCTCTTTTAACTTGTTCCATTGGTATTCATTTATTTGTTTATCGATTTTTCAAATTTCTTGTCGAAACTCACTAGAGACTTTTAGAAGCTCGAGGAAATGATTAAAATTTATTTGTCAGCATTGTAATCTTTGTATGTAGTTCGAAACTAAGTTGAAACATATAGGCTAATGAAACATGATAAGGCAGCAAGAGCTGTATCAGTTATCTTAGAAACATAATGAGAATAAAGATCATTTTTCTCCTATATTTATTCTTTGCTGGCATAAAAGTGATACAACAAAATGTTGAGGGATCTATGCTTAAGTAAAAGTCAATACAATAACGATGGCAAACAAACCAAAAACAAATGATGAAAAAGGAGAGAGAATTCATAAAAACAGAGGAACTATTTTCCCTCTCCGAGAAGCATTTATTTATTTACAAACGATCAAACTACGAAGCGTGTGAACAAATGAACAGGAGACAAGCTATTTCTATGAGAGAAAGGGAGCGTGTTTTTGAGTCTAAATATAAAGTGGTTTCCATTGGCATTCATTGCCTGTGATGTGTAACATTCATGACTAGAAAAACTACTCGAATACTGTTGCTTTCCAACTTTTTCAGCTAAATTTGAAGCAACCGTTTGCCAAACCGCGCCAAACTGTAGCCAAATCGAACCGAATTATTTCAAATTCTATTTTACAATGGTACCATTGCTTTTTTTGCTCTCTTCCTCAGTAATAGTAATGTTGTGATGTAAAACATAATATCGTTTCTGTGTGCAATAAAAAATAGTTTTTTTCTTCCTTCAATTAGTCCATGTTGATATTATTTGATCTTCGCAAAGGCACTCGTCGCTACTATGATGCCATTTCAATTCAACAAGAAAGAGAAGAGTCGAAGAAAAAATTGGCATAGCAACTAATGCTTGCGAGTGCTCATGATGTATAGAAGCTACTCGAATTTTGAGAATCAATTATTATTTCTTTTTTTACAACTCCTCTTTTTGTATCAATGAATTCAGTCGATGTTCTCTTCTTATATTCTCACTTTTCACAATGACGCAGGCAACTGTACTTATGTTGTTTTTCAACGACGAAGATACGTCTTGCAAGAGGACCAGAGGCACAAATGCTCCAGAGTCCCATTCGATGGTATGCGCCTCATTTTTGCTTTCATGTGAGTGAAAACATGAAGATGAGTGTTCTCAGTAGAAAAAAAAGTCCAATTTCTAATGACAAATAGTTTTTTTCATAATTTTACTTTATTACTCAATAGTTCTAAAGTTATCAAGAGTTTCCCATTTATTCCTGTGCAGCACAGGTCTATATCTTTGAAAAATTTGAAAATGCTTAACTCAAAGCCGAGAATATTTTTTCAAGTTTTTTTTCCAAGATTGTTCTAATGGATGCTCTATATTTCGATAAACAATTAGAGAAAAAACATTCATTGAATCGCAGAATACCTATTCCTAAAACGCCGAAAGATGCTATTAATTTCGGCGAGGACTCAGAGCTTGAAAGTAGAGTTTCTTATCTTATCTCGAACAAGAATAGCTCTCTGTGGATGTTTCAAATGATTTTGCATATATGTTCTCTCTCACTTTTGTGCATCATAAACTATATCCGATCATCTTTTCTGAATTCAAGAATTGCTCTTTTTCGTGATGTATAAAATAAGTCTGATATTTGCCAACGGCTTCATTTTTCTTAGCACTCTTTTGTGTCACATCTAGCAAAACAAGAAGAGAAGAAATGATGATTCATTTAAAAGAATATTACGATAAGAAAATTTTGACTCACTATGATAAGACGAATAATTGTTTATATGTTAGATTTTTTTATGACGTGCGGTATTCTGTATTTCAGCGAACAGAAGATAGCATTATTAAGTCGTTATCAAATGTGTTACGACGGAATTACATGATAAAGGACGTAGTTTATAAAATTCATGCAATTCATCTTTAGAAGGTATGTCAAAATAATTAAACAAAAGTAATCACAAGAAATGGGCAGTGTACCGTCATCCTCGATCCCAAATTTCGAAGCACGAATTTGAACAAAAGATGGCAAGAGATTTCAAATCTCGTATCATGATTTGGTTGATCACATCTTGTTGCTTCGCCAAGTGATTGCTCAACCAGAATTGACACAAGAAGGACCAACGTTGGATCATTTTATCGACGATTATTGTAATCGAATGGCACGACAAGACATGAAAAACAAACAGCAACAATTGAAACTTCCATTGGAAACTGAATGGATTTGGCACGTTCATCGTCTTCATCCTTTAAGCTATCACAATGATTGTACTAAACAACTTCCAAGTGGGCAACTTGTTGATAAAAAAATTCGTCAAGTTCTACAAAATTCTAAACGTAAACATGATGCAAAGATCTCGTTTTCATCGATAAATAAGAATTTCGTATTTGTTCCATCAATCGATTTGAGAAAGGCTGCCATTCGGCAACGTGATTTTCTTGAAAAGTTTCAAAATCATTATCTATATTCATTTGACTTGAAGAAGATGGATCGTTCGCATTTTGTCCATTTCGTACAAAATTATGTATCATTTATGAAATTGGCTGTAAAAAAGGAAATGATCGTACCAATTTTTGACATTGATTTGATATGGCATACACATATGAGATATCCATCACAATATCAAACTGCTTCAATAGCTTTATGTGGTTTTATTCTTGATCATGATGATGCAATAGAATCAAATACTTTAACGAAAGTTTATAAGAAAACTGCTGAACGATGGAAAAAGATTTATAACTCAGAATATGGTCACAATATTGATCGAAAACATTTAGAAACATCACAATACATGAGTTCATGTGCAATGGTTTTCATGCCAGTTCACGTTTCGAGTGGTAGTGGAGCATCGTCATGTGGAGCGATCGGGGGCAGTTGTGCGTCAAGCTGTAGCGGCGGAGGCTGTGGCGGTAATGGCTGTGGCGGTGGAGGTTGTGGAGGTGGAGGTTGTGGCGGCGGAGGTTGTGGTGGTGATTGAGATGTAACAATTGAACAGAAATACTTCAATTTTGATGACCATATACGTAATTGGTTATTGTACAAATTTCATACTTTTATTTATTGTTTATTTAAAGATGTAACATAATAAACATTTAGTGATTCATTCTGAAAAAACAGAAGTTTGAAACGATCTGGTGTGAGTTGTGAGTGCGCATGGATATCGGCTAGAAGAACATTTCGTCATTACCCACATCAAAACGCTAGAAAAGAGCTACATATTTGATATTTAGCACAAGGCTATTAATTGAATTAACTTCTTAGATAGAGAAGCATTTTCTAGACTCGTCCTGGGCTAACTTGAACACAAGGAACCAATTTAACCTTGTACTTGTTGATGTTCTTTAGAAATAATACAAGAAGTTATCTCATAACGAACATTGAATTAAGATATTTCTACGATAACAGCGGGGCATCAATTAAATATGTTTACTCGACCACTCTATTTTACCTATAAAAGTAGTAGTATACATAATTCAATGCTTGTTGAATTGAACACTTATTAATTTATAATATGCAAAAAACATGAGCTGTTTTGAAAATCTCAATGAACACAGAGCTTAAGTGCTAATCATTCATTGAGACGAATGGTATGTCTATTTAATGTACAAAAAAGAGAAAAAACAAATCTTCTTTTGACGTCGAGGTTGCAAATCTGTGTACAATTGAAAAGCTTGTGATCTTTCGTGAAATGATGGGTATTTCATGGAATGTTTTGTGAATTTCTATTGTACAGAAGATAAGTGGTCACAAGATATCCAAACTATATTTTGTATTTTTTTTTTAAATTCTTCATCTCGCCATTTTCACATATTATCTATACTCTGTAAGTATAACCAGTTGATAAGAGAGAAAGAAAGAGGTGCACGTGTATCACTTTTCATTATAGTCTTTTTCTTCTTCTTATTGTTATTCGATACTAAGGATGGTAAAAAAAATTCTCATCACTGGTGCATCTGGTCTCATTGCTGGTATACTAATCAAACATCTATCAAACAATTCTAACTATGATATTTATGGAATAGATAAACATATTGGATTATCGACACGTTATCAGCTTGAAAATACACCAACAGCAGAAGGTCAACAGCCAATATTACCATCAAAAGAAAAATTCTATGTATGTGATATCACTGATGAAAAGCAACTTTCATGTATTATTCAAGAAAATCACATTAATATTATTATTCATCTAGCGTCACTTTTAGAAACAGAGACAGTTGAAAAAATTAATTATATTAATTGTTATGGTACAAAAATTCTATTTGATACAGCAACAAAACAAGAACATGTTGAAATGATTATTTATGCCAGTTCAGTCATGGCTGTTTTCGGCTACTTAGAAAATGAACCTTATTCATCATTAGCAAAAAATGTTCAACCAAAACAATTGTTGAAAAAGATAACAATCAAGGATCCTCCGATACCATCACATTTCAATCCATCGTTTGAAGCATATTGTAACAGTAAAATATATGGTGAAGAATTGGCTAGACAATACTCATCAATGGAAACTATAAATGTTAAATTTGTTTGTGCTAGATTCGGTTGGATAAATACAACTGATGATATAACATCTGATTTATATGATTGGTCAGATAAATCAATATGGTGTAGTCATCGTGATTTATGTCAATTTATTGATCGATTATTAGAAAAACAATCGATGTTGAAAAAGTTTGAAATCTATTTTGTTTCTTCAAATAATGATTATTGTTGGGTTGATATGGATAATTGCCGACAAGATTTAAATTATATACCACAAGATGGTGCTAAATGGAAGAATACGTAAACACAAATGTGCCTATCTATGCAATTTTTTGTCTACCATACTTTCTAGATTACTACTTTTTAGTGACTAATAATAAATTTTTTATTTTCATAGTTGATGAATATATTCTGTCCCTATACACCTATTCCGCAACAGTATTGCATTTTCCCCGTAAGGACAGAACTAGGTCGCCTCATCTACATAAGGGTGGGTGTCGATCTTGTATTTGTCCACACTCATCGGAATGTTTTCATGCGACAATAAAAAGGAAAAAGTTCAACTTCATCATGCTAAAAGCATCCATTGTTGTCTTGAATGTTATATCATCAGAAATGAAATCAATCAAGATAAATTTGTGACTAGAGATTTCAAACAGAATGAATTTTGAATCGAAGATTTTGGGTGCGGAACATTGTTTATCTTTCATTCAACCAGAAAGAATATGAAAAAACGATAATTCAAAACAAAAGACTCTCATCAAATCAAATGATATTGGCAATGAATTGATTTTGAAATGCATTGGATTGCTTGCTGGAATAGAACGCAAAATACATCATATAGGCGATGATAGGCTGTAGACGACAGCTGTCAGAGTTTACTAACTATTAATCGATCTTATTGCCTCAAAATTTTTGATAACAACTAACCAAAATTTCACATATGAAAAAGCAGCAGAGGTAACAATCCTATATATGACATTTGTTGATAAATTCAGCACAGTAGTTGCCTGAATTATTAATGCTCTTTCATGTAAGTTTTTGTTTGTTTTACACAATGTGATCATGAAAAGTTCTCTTTACACTGGTATCGAATGTTCGAAGGAGATCAGTTCACTAAATTAATCGAATCAAATCTAATCCGACTTACAACTCTCGTTCAATATTCGAATGGTTTTTTTATATGCACTGTTTTTTGAACGACTAACAAATTCGCCTATTAAGAAAAAATCTTTGCTATCTATCACATCTACAATGGAAAAAGCTTATAGCGTAGCTCGCCTACACAACTAAAATGTGGAAGTTAAATAGCTTCTTTAGTCTGATTATACTGATACGAAATATGTAAAGTGAAAAAATTGTACCATATTACAGTTGCTTTCCAAAATCATGGATCGCTAGAAACATAATCCATTTAATTGTTACTTGAGTCATGAAAAGAATTTTTTTGCTTTCTTTGCAGGCGCTCTATTTTTGTTGTCACTTCCTCATCATTTCTATTTTTCGTATTTTTTTCGCCTACTTTTTTTTATTTAATTGTATTATCATTGCAATCATTGATTCAAATGACAAATATGCCTCTTACACATGTACACTTTATCTACCACAAGTATCATTGAACTATTATATATCTCAATCAAGTCAGAACACTGACACTGAGTTTTTTTTTAAATTAACAAGTTGATCAATTGATCATTTCTCATTATCGTTTGACGTCTTAAATATAAATTTTTATCTGGGTAAAATCCAAAACTGAACTAAGAATATTAGCACACGAATTTTATTGATGGCTTATGCCAGAGTAGTCAAAGTTTCTTTTTATCTTGTGCAATGATTTTGTTTTTCTATTATTACATTTAAAATAAGAATTGTATTTCTCGGTTGCTAGTGTCTGTAATGGGGGCTTGCGTTGCTAGGTGATCTGTAATCGGGTGAGGGAGGGAGCCGAGATGGAGAGCCGGAAAACTTGAACTTAAAACTTACACTCACTATTTTCTTCGAAAATGTATGTGAGTTCCACAAAATAAAGTTTGCGAAGAGAGAACATCGATGTTTTTGATAGGATAATGAACACTGTAAGTCGTTAGTTGGCACTCTCCTGTAAAAACACATGCCTACATTTCTTATCTTGTATAAGTGAAATGAATAATTATAATCTACGTAAAATTTTAATAGAGCTTTTCATTTATAAAATGGTGCGTTTTATGAGCAGATGAATGTATAGAATCATAAGTAATTTGACGATTTGCTCACCATTATCGTAGAACTAATTATGACATATTTATTTATTCTTCCTATTCAAAAACAAAGAATTCCAGATTCATTTAGAGTTTAAATGTCACTATAAGATTCAATTTACATTTGTAATTACAATGCCAACATAATCTTCGAAATTAATGTGTTGTATATTTGCATTGGATTTTTGGTATTGGTAGATATTTTGTAGTCAGATGTATCTGATGTATTTTCTTTAATTCTGAATTTTTTTTTCTCTTTCTCTTTATTACGTGATAATCTTTTGCGTAATGCCCGTATTTTCTTTTGTCTATCAACGAATATTTTGATTTCATCCATAAATAGATGATACAAATCGTCTAAGATTGTCTTTCGTATTCTATCAATTATAGATTCATATTGATACAACTCTTTCAGAGTTCGTTCACATTCTAATGCTTCATCCTGTTTTCTCTCCAATATTAATCTATCCATTCTCCAATCTAGAAACCATAAACGAATCCTCATTCTGTCCTCGTTGGATCGAGCAGGATTTTGTTCATAGACTTGCATTTCTTTCATTAACTCAGCATATTTTCGTTCTAGTTTTGGCGTCAACTCACATATTTCTGATAATATGCTTTCCTGTATTGTAACTTGCATAGTATTACTATTTAGTATATCATCTAAGATCGGTTTATACTTTAGTTGTTCAAAATTATCGAAGTTGTAATCATGTGTTTTCACTAATAGTTGTTCCACTAGTGTACCCAACAAACACTTGTACATATTTCGTAATATTTTCTCACAAACTGGTTCGAGATTTTTGCCCATGTGGTTGGAATTTTTAGGAAACAAACCGAAAAAAGAAGAATATCTTCTTTCTAGAAGCCATGACATGTAATTCTTGTAAGAACAGCATCTGAAAGTCAACTGTAAACGGCGTATGGCACAAGTACGATCGAATTGCCAAAAATTACATTGGCATTTATTGTCAAATGAATTCAAATTCCAGAGAATATTTTTTTCCTTGTTAGAATTGACATGATTACTTGTTGCGAATAGCGTTTCTTGTATTTCTTTTTCACTTCTCTGTTCAAGGTGATATAGAGAATCTAATAAAGATGGACAAAATATAGAAAAGCAATTTTGAGCAATTGTGTGTATATGATAACGAAGATGTGTTTCAAATAATTTGTGAGCACTAAGAATAAACATGATGAACCAATAGATTTGATCGATCACTTTACGGTTTCTAAAATCATATTCTTCTTTTGC